ATCACAGCACACTCCAGGTTAGCTGGTACAAGTTATTGCATTTCCCTTAGTTTTCCAGTGTATTATAATTTTAGGTGTATGTGTGAAAAAAAAAATAATCTCCAAACTTTTTCATATGTAATACAACAGCAGAATAAGCAACCTGGCATTACTGCAAGTGACTTGAAAAAGCCCTATCAGAATATGTACATAGTGACCAAAATGAAAACCAAAGGTCACTATTAAGCTTCCAGAGAGGATGACTCTCAAGCATAAGGGAAAGGAAAATACTAATAAAAACTAAGATAACACATGGTATCTCATCCCTCTAGCATGTCTAAACACATCATGAGCCAAGCCAGACATGGTTTTACACGTGAAATATTAAAAAAACAAGTTACCAGCCTCTGCTGAATTTATATAACTCATGTGGTAGCAATTTAATCTGGCTGATGCTGCACTCCAGCAGATTAAGGACAGTTGCTTGGTTTGCTCCTAAGCAGGGCTGCAGAAGCAGTAATCTCTTACAAGAGAGAAGAGGAAGCAGCAGCTGGGAACAGGTCTGTTAGCTCAGAGCTGAATTTTAATAACAACTCCTGTGGTAAGAAAAAAAAGAACAGGAACTAGACAACAACAGATTAAATTCACAGGACTAAATTTCATTCTTTCACATCTCAAATCCTAGTTTAGAAAGTCCTCTTAGGAAAACCAAGCAACTGTGCAAAACATTTATCCTCAGAAAAAAATCCATCAGGATGTTGTTCAGGTACTTACATCTTTGTTTTCGAGAATTTCCTGCTTGGCTTCAGGTTCAACTTCAACCAGTTCAGCTTCCTCTCCCAAGCCACCAAGCTCTGGCCCACCCATTGGAAGAGGCTCCAAACTCTGAAACCACACAAGAAAGCTGCATGCAATAGGGAACACAGTTTGTGATTTACACCTTTAGCCAAGGAAAAAAACCCTACGGTTCTTGACACTGTGTTCTCTCAGGTTACAAGGGAAAAAAGGCAAAAGAGAAGAATTAAAATTAGGGGAATTACCCACACACTTGTTACCTACCTGCTTGTTAATGAAAGCTGGATAGCTTCCATGGCAAATCATTTATCAAAAATACTCTGCACTCTTCCAAAAATAAACTTATTTTTAAGGCATGCTTTCTGTGTTAAAGAGGAATTCTATCCTCAGAAAAAAAAGAATTGAAAAAATCAGGGTGTCACTACTTAGTTTGGGTTTTTGTGGGGGAGTGAAAGAGCAAAGCAAGTTGCTTTCAGTATGCTGCTTTGCTTTGTGTCTGTTGATGTGCTTTTCTATTTTCATATTGCTTTTTAAAGGATCCTTCCAAGGAATACTCAAGAAACTCTGGCCCTCTCCAGCAGAGGCAAACATTTTAATCCAACTGGTTTCCAGCACAGCATGGCTTTATTTGCTATAACTGAAAGAGTCCTAAAAGAAGACTTATCAATAGATAATGGGTTCCAGCATGAGCAAATACAGGGTTACTTGCAAAAGCAGAGGTCAAGATTGGATAGCTCAGTAAATCTACTTTTAGTCTTAAGTCACTAATACAGCACTTGTATTATTTAAGGCTAGCTGTTTGGCTAGAGTAGTAAATTGCTGGTACATATCAGAAACAAGTGAAATGAAAACAGAATCCTCTCTCATTCCCAATAATCCTCAGGCAAGCATGAGACACTACACATCCACACAATATTGTCTATCAGTTTATACCACAGACAGATATAAAACTAAGAACATGGGGGGAAGAAAGGGAAACAGAAATTAGCCATGGTAATTAGATACTTCCGAGTCCTAACAGCCCCCTGCAGCAGTATCTTCCTCAGTCTAATTAAACACTAGGTAGCAGCCTGCTGGTTTTCAACAGGCTCACAAAAAAGAGCTATTCTACGTGTGATCTTGAGGCATCATCCAGACCATTCTTAGCCCCTAAAGAGGTCAGTCAGTCATTAATCATACTTGAATTATCTGCACCACAATTTTAAACAGCCCTATGCAGGCTCCCCACGGTTTCTTTGGGGCAGAAACAGTTGAATTCACAGGCTATTTCACCAAATTCACTTAACACTTGCACTGATTCCTTTGCTTTACAGTCAACACGACCAACAACCTTTTCTACATGGCATTGATAATTCTTACACCTTAACTTTCTCATAACCTGGCTCTTACACCTTGCCCTGAACCAGACTGCTCAAGAGCGGGCTCCTTCCCAGAAAAAATCCTGAGAGATGCTTCTCTGACACAGCCTTGAGGCAGGGAAAGCCTAATGCCTTCCTAAGGCATTCTCTGATATTACTTCCTGATGTCTAAGACACACTTTCTCTGCTGTCACTACGGCCACTGCTGCTTCTCCTACCACAGCAGACACGTAAATCCTCACGTCCCTCCCTTCAGCAACGTTACACGGGCTGAGGAGCTTTACGCTGCTGCTCACCGGGAGGTCTGAGCGCTTCAGACAGGCGAGACCCGGGAAAGCTTCCCAAGCAACACACCCACAGCCTCCCCGCCCCGCTGTGACAGCGACAGGCGCGAAGCAGCTTCTCTTCCCCTCGCCGTTCGCCTTCCCTCTCGCACAAGGCTCTGGCCAGCCCAGCCGCCGCCGGGAAGGGAAAACAGCCCCGGGGAAGAGGCGGCAGCTCCAGCACAGCCCGGCCGGGCCGCTTCCCTTCCCCTCCCGCGTCCCCGGCCCGAAGGTCGCCGGACGCCCTTGGGGGGCAGGCCCGGCCCGGGCTGCG